GACTTCAACTCCCAGAAGCCTTCACCACCACCTCTGCTGGCCAGGATTTCTGGGAGTTGAAGGCCAAGAACATCTGGAGGGCCACAGTTCAACACCACTGCTCTACAATATTAAATTTAACTGTTTGTTCACATGTTAGGAACAAATCATGACAAATTCTTCTAGTTCAGGTCTGTTAACTGTCTTTTGGTTCCAGGTGCTACACCATTTTAATGTTTTACAGAAACAGTAGGCCCAGTCTACCCCCTGGGAAAGCCTGAAGGTGGTGATCGGCAGCAGTGGGGGACCCCCAGGAGGTCTCCCATGCTGGCCGGAAAGCCCTGGGAGGCCTCCGAAGGCAGCGATGGTGGTGGCGCCGGAAGCCTGGGAGGCTGAGCCTCCCTTTCCCTAACCGTTGGGGTGAAAGAGCTACAAAGAAGCAGCCTCTTCGCCACCAACGGTTAGTTTTTTTGAATTTCCTGCCCCCTTTCCCTGCCTGTTTCTGTTCATTTGTCAAAGCTCTGGCCACAAGTCAAAGCAAAATTTTGCATCTGGAGCTGTTCGTAAGTCAGATTGTTCGTAGGTATGATGATGATGATGATGATGATGATATACACCATACTGTGGGGGACACGCACATGCCCGCGTCCACTCACACACACAAAGTTGCTACTTCATTGAGAAGGGTTTGTTTCTAATTTTTAACTTTGTTTTGCTTCATTTTTACTTTCAGGCCCAAGATCTCCAAGCACTTACAGAAAAGCATGGCTTCTCAGATCAGCTGCTTGTTCCTCCTTTTCTGAGTTGTAGTAACTGTGGATCGCTTCATCTCCCTCCTCAACCTCAAAAAACATTTGCTTCACATGGCTTCAACAGAGAACAACAGGGAACTCCTGCTTGCTTTCAGTTCAGAAAAAGCACTCTTCAGTCAACATTTTGCAACCAGGAACATTGCGACCAGATTCTGCAAATGTACAGTGAGGGGAAAATTGAGAAATAATGTAAAAGCTGGTGTGATTTAATGGTTAATGTGTTGAACTGACACTTGGAACATTAAGGATGAAGTCCTCACTGAATCACAAAATGACTTATTGAAAAGTCATTAGTTGACTTAGTCAACTCTTTTTCAGGATTGCTTCACAGGATTGCTGTGAAGATCAAGTCGGGAAAAGGAGAGCCATGCAGATAACCCTGAGCTCATTGCAGGAAAGGATGGATCTAAATATAACAAACAAATAGAATTGTGAAATCTAAGCAAATTTTCCGGTATTTTTTTTCCAACTCCTTCTTTCTCTTCAGGTATCACCTAATGACTTCTCTCTTGTCTTGCTACTTCTGTTTTCTCATGTTATCTTTTAGAAACCAATTATGTATGTAACTAGGGAAGATATATTCCCTTTACCTTGAAAAATTTCCTGCACAGTAATGCAGACACTGTTTTTCTCTTGAAGAAAAAAATATATATACTACAATCTTATGCCTGAAGAAAAGCCCCATTGATATCAAGGGAAGTATGTGGAAGATAGTAATCTTAATGTATTTTAATTAGAGATAGGGGTATTCATATTCGTATTAGAATACAAATATCCCTGCACAGCTGGACTTTAAAAAGTCACATGTCCGCCAGTGGTGGCGGCCTCGCTCTTCCTTCCAATCACTCTTGGAGCATTGCTGTCTTCCTCCTTGGCTAGCAACTCAGAAGCCTTGCAGAGAGACTATTTATCACTCCCATTGCCAGGAGTGGCTAGCCAAGTGGGGCTCCAGGAGTGATTAGAAGGATGAGTGAGGCCACCACCAGCAGATGAGTGAGGCCACCGCCAGGGGGTCGGACCTTCACTACGTCCAGCTGTGCAGGGATATTCGTATTTATATACAGTACAAATACAAATACCCTCATCTCTAATTTTAATGCTTAATTTTATCCACCTGCAATTTTTTTAAAAAAATACGAATTGACTTCATCAGATTTTTGTTTAATGAACATTTTTATCCATATGCATATCCAGGCATGTGATAATCTCTAGTCTTCAGAAAAAACAAATAAAATAAACCTGCTTCCACTTTGATGAAAATTATTTTCAAAACATTTGATCTTCTAAAGCTTCCCATCTATAACTCTTCAGTTAAATTTAAAATAAATGAATGAATACACAAATAGCTTATAATGTTGGCTATTTTAAGGTTTGAGGAGGAAGTATTTTTTTTATATAGATTTCATTTCAACATCTCCCAATGCAGTCCCCTCCAGAAGGGTTGAACTGCAGCCGTCATCATTCCCTGCTGGTAGCCATGGAGAAAGGGCAATGGAAACAATGACGAAAGGGGGAAAGGGTAGTATGAATATGCTTCCTTTGCTTACATGTTGATTAAACACAATTTGCATATGCCTGAATGCTGGCAGGCACCTTCATATTGCCTTCTCCTCTATATCCTATAGGAGTATTCATCTAGTTTGCTCCATTTCAAGTTTCCCTGCTTCCTTTCTCTATAACTGGCTGCTACTGATAAAGGCAGGGAAATCTCACTAATATGATGACACGTTAAAGGGCAAGTATTCCTAAACATTATGGAAATTGAACTTGACGGGGCTGATGCTCTTTTTCCATCACACTAGGATTTTCTCTTGCACAAGTTACCACAGCTGGCTTTGGGACCTGCTGAAGAATGAACATATTTATGCTTACTATAACAAGCAACAAATGGTGAAAAGTGCACCTTTTGTTGAAACATTTTTCTTTCTCATCTGTGAACCTGAAAACAAGTTTTCTCACTCCAGTTTAACTCTGAGGTCCAATTAATTTTGGCCTCTCTACTCCAGCTTTCACCAGCTGGGTTTCTAGCTGTGCAGCGCATCCTGGGGGTTTATAAATGTTGCCTTCCTTTCTGAGAGCAAAGCAAGGGTGGAGTTCTCTATTGATTGGTTGTTTCAGTCTCTATTCCCAAGTTCTTTATGGTTGTTTTCTTATACAAGCATGACTCTTCCAACATTTATGTCTTTGCAACTCTCCAAACAATTTATCATCAGACATGAAAGGTGTTAGAAAGAGTGAAAGTGTAGGCTTAGCTTATGGAATACAGTACAATTACTTCGTTATATTTAGATTCTATGGTTTTCTTTTCTTTTTTGTTTTTTTTTATCTTACATTGAATGTTTACTTTTCAACCATTCGAGAAAACGTTTGTTTAGTCTGACTGTGAATCATGTCTGTTTATTTTTTGGAAAACTTTCAAGATTATAGTTATGAAAATGATGTTGCTATCTTGCAGTTTGATGCTTGCACATTACTCTTTGGCTGTCTGAACACTCAGGAGTTTCTAGCTGAATACGGCATTTCCGTTTATTAGGAGTTTTAGAAGAGGTAGCCATGTTAGTCTGTGCAAGCATATTAGGCAAATTCCAAAGAAACAAAACAAGATAAGACAAAAACATGGGGCACCTTAAAGACTATTATATTTTAATTAGGGGCACCTTAAAGACTATTATATTTTAATTCGACTTTTCGTGGATCATGTCCACTTCTTCAGACATAAGGAAAAAATGAAATGCAGTATGGTGGATCATGTCCACTTCTTCAGACATAAGGGAAAAATGAAATGCTGTATGAAATACAGAAATCACAAGTAAAACATTCAAAACATTCAATGGCTTTAAGAATTCTGGGTATGTGGTTACATCTCATGTGCAGTGATTTATGGCCAATGTTTGGTATTAACAAGTGCTAATAGAGCTTGAAAAACTTTACATCACAGTTTTGGACTATAAGTTCCCCATGCTGATATTTGCATTCCCCATACAGAACATTTTCAAGTTTTGACTAATTTGTATATTAAATCATTTTTGCATCTCTCCTTCTCCTGATCTGTGCAGAAATGAAAAGATAACATTTGAACTGTGCGTGGGAACTGAGTCAGACAATTTATTTTATTAGATTTCTACCCTGCCCATCTAGACCAAAGGTCTGTCTTTCTAATCCAGCACTGTCTATCCCCATCTAACCCTACCTAGCCATGCCAGCTTGTGTGATGATGGCTGAAATCCAGCACATGTAAAACACATCAGGTTAGGGAACACTAGGGCTGGAAGAATTAGTTTTTTTTTTAGACTACATGGCCCAGAATTTCTCAGCCATCATGATTTTAACTGGAAGAGACTCTCTAGCAAATGTTTCCCCAATGTTAGCCAGTTCATTCTTTTTTTCCCCCCTCTCATTGTGTTGCACAATTTAAAATTATGGATGTATAGGTAAAAATTATAGGTAAAAATTAAAAACATAGGTAAAATATAGGTTAAAATTAAAAACAAGCTTGACATGAAATTCTATTTCAAAATACTGAAGTACTGGATAACACCAGCAACCACTATGTTAGACTGCACAGGGAAGCCATTGAAATCCATAAATATCAACAGAATTTCAACAAAAAGGAAGAAGGCCTAAAACTAAACATGACCTGGCTCCCAATATTGAAAAATACAGCCTGTAAAAGGTCAACGAACTCTACCCAGCCACAAGGACCAGGGATCATTGCACAAAAAAGACCAGCTAACGACACCCATCAATCACAGTAACAGATAATCTCTCCCTCCTTATCACAACAAAAAACACACTGATCACCCTATCTCCTGAAAAAAGACAAAAGCTGTTCCCACAGCTATAAATACTCAACTATCCAACAAACAGCAACAGAGCTTGGACAAAGTTCCTACTCCAGTCCTCTGAAGATGCCGGCCACAGAGACTGGTGAAACATCAGGAAGAACAACCTTCAGAACACGGCCAAAGAACCCAAAGAACCCACAACAACTATCAGATCCCGGCTGTGAAAGCCTTCAAGAATACATCTATTAAATGACTTGATGATACAGCTAGAGTCTTGTCCTGGTGAGAGTCACTCTTCATGCATCCATCAAGGTGTGTTGCTTTTGTTTTCCATAGGTTTAGCCTAGCCTCTTCTGATTTATTTAGACCTTGGAACTAGCCAGTTACCTGGTATCATCCTAAAATAAAGATGCTACAACCCGGGACTCTCTAGAAGTACCAGGAGCACAATCCTGCCCATTTATTCCCATTCTCTTTACTGGAAGAAAATAAACTTAACTTCCCAATTGAAATAAATGAGCATTTATCTGGCAATAAATTCCTGGAATTCAGTGGTTCGCCATGCACATCATGGCTATTTGACTAGAACAGTGCAAACTTAACCCAAGAGAAAGGAATCCTTAGTAAAAACCTCAATGTTATACCCATACAGTTGAAGGTATGATTTTCAGCTATGACTTCTTCTTCTTTTTTCTTCTGTAGCTTTCTTTCAGCCACTCACAGTCTTTCTTAAACATGGAGAGAAAGAGAGCAGCAGATAGAGGTCATGAGTAGGAAAATTCTGCCTTGTAGTGATGGGGGCTAGCCATTGCCCAAGGTTCAAGTGCATGCTTTCCATATGGACAATTCCTGGCATCTATAGGCAGGATCCAGTGAGACCTCTGTCTGAAAACCAGGAGTAGTCAGCATAGGTGGTATTGAGGTAGATGGACCACTAGTTTGACTCTGTGGAAAGCATCTTCATCTGTACCATGGCACCATGTAAAGTCTGCTTTAAAGGACTCCATGAGGAAGTTGTTACATTATATTGCAAGCCACTGGACTGTTTTGTGCATATCGAAAAAGAATGTTCCTCCTAGCATTGAGCAAATTAGTGTTCCATGTGGTGAGCCACTTCACATAAGTCAGAACCACACAGGGCTATTTTAAATGGCCTTCATGCGATAGTCCTAATTTGTGGGCTGGCTTTGAAGTCTGTTTGCCGAAGTGCAAATAACTGCAGGGTGCGCTGGGTTTTAAACAGCTTTTATCCAAGGGAAAGAAAATTCTTGGCCAAGCATGACTGCAGAATGTGCAGTGCCCTGTACCATTCCCACATCACACAAGTTTCATGTTTTCCCCCCACATGGGAGGCTGAGGCAAATGTAGGAGGGATTGAAATGCAATGCTAAACTGTAGTTTGCTGCACATATGAGCAATTTACACTTTCTCTCCTGTGGTCTGCCAAGTAGTCCGGCTGCTGCCCCTGCTGCCTATGGTACAAGCAGGCAGATACTCATAGCAGTTTGACTGCTATGTCTGTGGCCTAAATCAGGCTATGGCTGCTGAGATCAACTGTAAAGCCTAGCAAGTCCTCTCCCTCAATTCCTCTGAAGTAAGGTCTCCAAAGCTCTATAAATGAGCTGCTGCACTCTGTAATGTTAAATGTAACACACTG